CTCACCCAGAACAGCAGCCGCGGCCGCCTGCTGGTACCTTGTCTGCGGCCGAGGCCGGTCGAGACGAGCCAGAGCGGCGGCGCCGAAGACGAGGAGAGCCTCGTTTCCCCGGCCCCGGTTCTGCTCACGTACTCGGTGGTGACCCGCGACGGCGCGACGACGGTGGTGGCCTGGCGAGACCAGTTCCCGCCATTCAAGCTGGTCAACGCGTGCCCGTTCCCCATCTACTACGCCCAGTACCACGACGACCGACGCAGGATGGAGCGCACCAAGTGCGCTGTGCCGGCCGGGCAGATGGTCGAGTACGATTGGATGTGGAAGGAGTCCACCACGCTGCCGCGACGAACAGACCCAAGCGAGGCGCGCCCAGACGGCAGTGACAAAGGCAACGACAACGAAGAGGAACAGCAAGAAGACGCCGAGGAGGAGCAGGAACAACTGGAGAAGCAAAACGAAAAAGAAACGCCAAAAACGCGCGCGGAGGACCTGCTCGAGCCCAAAGCGTGGAGCCTCAACCGCTTGTGTGTGCGAACGGGTGAGTCGGCCTGGTCGCGCGAGTTCCCTATCGACCGTGCTCGGGCACAGACCCTCACCTTGGCCGAGACCGAGCGCCGGTCGACGTGCGGGTGGTGCCCTGCGGCCCTACCTTCGTTGTCTACTTCGACGACCCGTCGACGAAGCCAACCGCCGCGATTGAGCGGAATGCTGACCACCACGCCACCACCGCCAGCGACCGCCACCCAACCGCCACTGCGGTGAAGAGCGGCGGGTTCAAGGTCGACTTCGCTGTGCCCCTTCTGTCGCTCTCGTTCCTCGCCCCGCCCGAGCTGCACGCCGAAGACTGGAACACGGGCTCGCCGGCAGCGGTGCCCGCCTCCACGACCTATCACACCCTCATCGAGACCGTCAACACCTCGCTGGACGACGTGCGCCTGTCCTTCGTCAGCACCGAGGGACCCTCGGCCGACTCCCCGTTGCAACAATGTCCATTGGAGACGACCAAGCGGCAGAGCGTGTCGCTCTCCATTTCGTCCTTTCAAGTCGACAATCACATGCCCTTCTACGACTTCCCGGTCGTGGCCCTCTCCAACGCCTCGTCGTCGTCTTCGCACGCCAGCGTGTCGTCTTCATCGCCCGCCGTCGCCTGCACTCTCGAGCGCGCCTTCTTCCCGGTGC